TAGCTCACATGAAATTTCCGTTTTTTTTTTATTAGAGGAAAAAAATTTGTATCTTCCACAAAACGGTAGTGAATTATTGATTTTGTTGCTACATGGCTTATTGGTGGGTGTTTTGTGCTTCGACTACTTGTAGACACGGCTACATTGCAATTTGGTGATTTTTTTTGTATTGCGTTGTTTTGCTGTTGTCATCGTGTAAATGTAATCATAAATTTTGTAAGTACCCAATAGTCATTTTGGCGAACGTTCGAAAATGACCTTCGGTATCCAATATACAAATTGGGCTAGTTCTCGAATCGAATACTAACCTATTTCACATTCGATATCGGAGGTGAGACTCGAAAAAGAGATTGCTTTTCCAATCATTTTCGAATTGTTAACCAAGCCCAATGTTTATTGGGTAGCTTCACATTTTTATGAGCTGTTAAATATCGTAATTGAAATCTGCGTAAGACCCAATAAGAATTTGTGGGATGTGGGAATTTAGATTTAAGTAAACGTTCAAGATTGATTTTCGTAAATTTTTCAATAATAAGCTTACTAATTTTTTATTTAAAACTGTCATACAAAGATTTAGGTACAGTTATGTTGCTTTGTTAATTAGTTTATGAGGAAGTTCTGCAATTATTTAGGATTTAGTTCAGAAAGATTTCCAAGAGCATGACGATATGAGAGCGATATAGAACTTTACTTAAGACTTAAGTACATGGGTGAGTTGGTTGTTTAAGGACAGCTTCCCTCTAAAAATAGACGCCACTTTGATCGAGTTGCCAACAATTCGAATTAACCGAATGCTGTCATTTTAGTTATGACACAGATCATTCAATAGGGCACAAGTAGTTTGGATTCGGCTCCAAGTTCGTCCAGGATGATGTAGAGAGCCACCTGGATATGAATGAAGCCAACGCCTGTGAAATTTGTATGCATAGAAAGTAATTATGAAAAGTCACAGTTTAATATTTTTGAAAACTGCGAATAAAGTTTTGGGAACTTAAAAACTGGAGAACAATTTCAAATTATTTAAAAACTGGTCATATACAGTTATTTGTGAAAAACTGGACATCAGTCCTTGTGGAATAAATTAATGGTTGTCTAAAGAGCAGTCGCTGTAGTGTAGTTGTAAGCAGTGCGCGCTTCCACTCCACAGGGCCTGGGTTCAAACCCTGCTAAAAGCAACATCGCAAAAAATTGAGAAAATATGTTTTTTCTTAACAGCGAACGCCCCTCAGAGTGTATTTCTGGCATGAAAAACAACTTCTCGTAAAAATACAATCGCCGTTCGGAGTCGGCGTAAAACTGTAGGTCCCTCCCCTTTATGCGACAACATCGAGGCGCACGCCACAAATCGGAGGAGAAGCTCGGCCAAACACTAACATATATGGAAGCGCCAATCTATTATATTATTATTATTAAAGATGAAAAATATAAAATCGTCAACGAAAAACTTTTTTTTTTCAACTTCCTCTTTTATTATACCAGTCTTTATGGGCATCTGGTAATAAAGTAAGACTTATGGAAAACACATTTGTACAAATATCAATATCTCAATACACTGAAATGACAGTTGCATAATTATTCTATAATTCAATCAATTAATTCAATTTTCTGGATAGTAGGTCTGATGTTGTAAACCCTTTGAGCCTTCTGTGACATCTGGACGAAGTATTTGTTGTACTTCGTTGTTGGCGTGGCTTTTAAGTTCAACAATATGTTTTGTGCTGATTTTCTTAAGAGTTCCTTCAACCATGTTGATTGTGAGCTCATGATGTAGGGCGTCATTTGTGATGTATCAGGGAGCATCTGCTATCTTACGTATAATATGATTGTGCACCTTGAATTTTTGCGAAATTTGTTTTGGATGCGGTTCCTCATATCTGGATACCATAAGTCCAGGCAAGAGCTACGATGCTCTTGTATACAAGAATTTTGTTGCTTAAAGATAAGTGAAGTAGTCAGTCAGTAGAAAAGACTTAAGTTTGTTGGCCTTAATGTCATATGCTATAAAATACCTTTGCGACATCTAAATACACAGCCGTAGTACTTTTTGTCATTTATGTCTCTTGATATCTTATTTACGACCCTATGAACCCGATGTATTTTGGAGTGTTTTCGTCTAAATCCAAATTGGTGTGTATGAATTACATTTTGCTGAGTCAAGATGAGGCCAATTCGGTCGATCAAAAGTTTTTCATATACTTTTGACAACGTCGGTAACAAACTTATGGGTCGATACGGGGTTGCCTCAGAGGGATTTTTTCCTGGTTTCACCAGAGCAATAATCTTAGCATCTTTCCATACCACAGGGAAATACTTTAACAGAGATATTGCATTAAAAGCGCTTCTGGCGTATATATAGGCTACATCAGGTAACTCTCTTAAAACTTCTACTGAAATCAAGTCAAAACTAGGGGATTTTTTACATTTTAGAGAAGCCAGTATTTTTTGTCGAATTTCACTTGTAGCCATTTTAGGTATTGTGCAATTTTGTATTTCTTGTAGCTGTGGTAATATGATTTGCTGCTGGCCAAGGGGATTCGAAAATGTATTGTCAAAGTGTCGTGGGCGTTTTCTGCATGAGGTCTGGCCCAGCCTCCATCCTGATTTTGGATGGGTGGTTGGTGCACTACGGCACCATACTGGGCCCAAAGCTGGTCAAGTATTTGTTGAGCTTATTGTCCATGTCTTTCTTAACCATCGATTTTAGCGAAAGACTGGACATAATTTCTTATTTTGTTAAAAACTATACGCAATTTGTTTTATTTCCAAATTTTTACTTTCAAAAATTACCAAATTAAAAGTGGATATCTATAAAATGGCTAGCAAAATATTTTTGGCGAAAACATGGACACCAATTTTGGGTAATTTAAAAACTGTATATAATTTTTTAATATAAAAAAAATCGGACGTAAATTTCTGCTATTTTATTTAAAAACCTCAGCTTTTCATTAGAAATTTTTGCTTTTTACAGTGCCTCGCCAGATGATTTGAAACAATAATCAGATAATATAAACATTGAAATTCTCCGATATTTCAATTTTTATACAATTTTTTAAAAAGATTCAATAACATAAACCCTATAAGTCAAAGCTTCACACTTTCTGTAAAATTCCCGAAAATTCCAAAAATTTCAAAAAAATTTTCTTCGCAATTTCAACTTTTTAATCAAAATTTTTTGAAAATTTTTGGGTATGCACTTTTCTTAACCCGAAAGGGAAATTTTAAGCGACTTGCAACTGACATTGAAAGGGCTATAAAACTTAAATTTCTTAAAACTCTGAATGAAAAATTTTAAATTTTAATAAATGCTTTTGGAAATGTCTTAAACGTTCTCGAATATTCATTTATATGGCTATCTTGGCTTAGATTTTTTATTTTTATTTTTAGACACTTTTACGTTGGTGACATGCAGATTTTGTCCAAGAAGAACAGTAGTAAAATTTTCTGAAGAATAATTTTCTACATAGAACATATCAATCCTTGCACGACGTTCCAAATTTGCTTTTTCAGAGGTTCCTTGAAGTTTGTATCAAAACGACCCTTTCAGGCGGGAGTTGATGGGTTAAAATGTTCTGTTTCCAATGCAATTTTTCTATGATTGACTTAACCTTTAATTGCACTCAGACACTTATTTTAACTTTTTTCCGCTTTTTTGTAAACTACTTAGGCCGGGACATGAAAATGTTAGTAGTTCATAAAATATAAAAAAAAATATGAGCTAACTTTTCCAAATCTATCGAGGGTTTTATTACTGGATAGGTATACTCTCACGCACAAAGTTATTGAAGTAGGAAGCATTACTTATACATAAATGTAGTTAGAAATCCCCCAAAAAACACCTCAATCTACGATTCCCTCATATTTCATGAAATTTATTTGTGCATAGAAGTTGATGAGCATACGTCACAGATTATTGCGGTAGCCGCCATAATCCCGTTGACGCGTGCAACATTTCAGCGATAAAACTGATTGAATTACACTCACAGTTGTTATAATAATTGCATATTTATGTGTCGATAACTGCATTTTCGTGTATTTGTAGATACATAGATATTTACTCGTACATACTTACATACACACACACACACACACACTATTCATTAATCTGAATGCGATTCACTGCAATGAAACGGCAAGTTTCGCTGCAATCACTCTGTTGGTAGTAAAAAATACAGAAAATGAAAATTATCAGCATTAATGATGAACAGATTAAAAGAAAAACACCAATACGTGTGCAGTAGTTGTTGCACATGTAAAAATTTGCCCCAAGCGCATTGCACTTAATTTTTATTATAATGCAATTAATTGCATTTTTGCAACGAGATTAATCTGAAAATATAAGAACTGTGTAGGTATGTATTTTTTTGTGTATCTACATATATGTATTTAAATAGGTTTACTGTTCGTCGGCGCTTAATTCATATACCAACAGACGCACGTGCCGAGCCGTGCGTGCGTGCGTTCAACTTGGGCGGTCATTGCGGCCTAAAAAAGTGCAACCAATAACTGTTTCTGCATGTCATGTGTTTTTGCATATGTACATATGTACATGCATTGGTGTGCAGGTACATAAATAAAATCATTTGGTTTATCAGCCTCGCGCGACGCAGGTGGCAAAGTCAATTAATGTGTAGGCTGGCAAAATAGCAAAAAAATAAAAAATATGCAGCATAATAAACAGTCTTTATTATTAATATTATTATGCAATTTAATTTAATTTTATTATCAGCACTGATACGAAAATCAAGTAAATAAAATTATAATTATTGCAATAAAAAGATAAACAAATAATAGCAATGATCCAAATGCAATTGTAATCGAAGTGCAGATAATGGATATATACTTGTGTAAATATGAATCTAAAAATAATGAAAAGCAAATTTTGTACTTTAAAAATATGTAC